CACACACCAGTGCAAGGTCGGTTCACAATCCTCATCAAACGCTTCCGCTATTACAAGTTTCTACCCAAGAGTTCTCCTCTGCAAAGATCCTAAGGGCTATTTTCTCAGCCCAACATGGTATGAGAGCAGACAGGGGAAAACTCTAACTTTTTTATCATTACAAGACATGGCAACAAACAAGGAAAGGAGCTCCCCTAATGGCTCCTCGGGCACTACTCCTACTCCACCACCAGCCTCTGGCCTGCAGACAGAGGAAGGCACGGCAGCAAGACCAAGGGGAACGTCAACCGAGACCCCCACGAACCATCCTTCTGACTTCGACCAGAACATGATGGATAAATTTTTCTCCTTCATGTCCTTCTACGAGCAACACCAGCAGTCGGGACCTGCACAGACACACAACAGCAACAACGGAGCGACACCCATGAGCCTTGACGGGTCGTCATATGCGCGAGGGAATCAACAGCAGCAACCCACCTTCGCCCCGTACGAACGCGGGTCGATCAGCTTCCTGCCTCAACCTCCACCTGCGCAAGACAAACCAATGGATGCCTTACAAGTACAGTCGCAGTTCGCGCATGTTCTGAAACTACAGACGTCAAGACCTTTCGACGGAAAGGACTTCTTTACCTGGTCCTTTGAATTCGAGTTGATGATGGAGGGCGCGCAGATACTCGGCTTCTTCGACGGATCCCTGCAGTATCCAGCAAACGGGACACAGTATGAAAAGCAGCAGTATACGTATCGATCCATGATGGCGTATACTATTCTACTGAGAAACATCACACCAACCCAGCAGCAGAACATTCGCTCCTACCGGAACTTCGGCAACTCGGCGGAACTCGCGTACGGCCATCTGAAGAACCTGTACCAGGCAACAGACAGTGTAAACCAGAGCAGGTTAATGGCGCAGCTGACAACAGTGGAAATGAAACCAGGAGAAAAAGGGTTGGCGTATATCAGCCGATGTCGCGAATTGCGCGACAAGCTTCTTCGATGTGGAGGGTCAATCTCTGAAGACGCCTTCGTAACAGTCGTCATCGGCGGCCTCGGTCCTCAGTGGCGCGCCACCAAAGCAATTCTTCGAGCACACGGGAGGATCTCCGAAGCGGCACTTTGCGCAGAAATTCACGCGGAACAGCAGGATATGGACCTGCAAGAAGAAAGACACAAGAAAAGGACATTAGCACCGGAGTTTGCTTTCCATACTCAGCGACGACACAACTACTACAACAATCGACAGCAGCAGCCGAAGTTAGTACCTCCATTTTGTCACATCTGCAAGACATCAGGACACCCACGCTCGCACTGCCCGTCTCGACAGACAACACCACAGCGACAACTGCGGCCTTCAAGCACCCAAGTTGCTTCGACACAAGCAAGTTCGACAACCACGATTCAAGCTTCAACGACCTCAACTGGACAACCTGCACAAGGAGCAAGACATATAGTCAACTGCATGGTCAAGATAAACGACTCTTGCATAACAGAGTCACCACCCCATTATTCACCGGAAGAGGAGCTCGACAACAGGATGCCTCGTCGCGAATCACTCCATCCAAATCCGACTTACGCCGCTATCGCTCAAAGTGAACCGTCCGGCCAAGACACCTGGTTCTTGGACAGTTGCTGCGGGCAACACATGTGCTCGTCCGGGCGTTTCGTACAACGCGAACATCGACTCCAACGGGAAGTGATCATCACGGTTGCCAACAACCGTACACTAGTACAAATTTTTGAAACCTCTCCCCTCCTCTGATTAGCGCGTGAAAGTAAGGTACCAGTGGGTGGTATTTATTGAAGTGTGAATACAGGGAGAAATATCTTGTTCAGTTCATTTGTTGACCCACATCCTGTGCTCTGTTCAAAGGCCTGAATGAACATTGCTGAATCATCAATCAGGGCGGAAGGTTCTGATCACGGATATCGCCAGTAGCTTTGTGCCACTAATATGCGTCCAGGCTGGATGGAGCTTCTTACAATCCTAGCAGGATTTGCTTGACTCACAATAGTTTGTTGGTTCTTTTTCATTTTAATAAGTAACTCGGAATAGTAGGGACATTACATGTTTTAAAGTGATAATTCAAATCATAACTATGGTCAGCTCCATTGAAATATGGCCGCTAGTGTGCTTGAGGGATGCACCAAGTGTTCAGTGTTACAGCTCTGGGCCAGGTGTCGGCGAGTGCGCTGAACAACCTGAAGAAACCTGATGCATTTGCGCCTGCGATGGGGGAGGGGGGGGGGCGGTTGTCCCTCGCAGCCAATTACGAGCACTCACCAGGTATAAATTTCGAGGCTCCCGTTTCGTTGTAATTCCACCAATCAAATGGAGAGATGCTCACCTGTCAAGGCGGATCAAGCGGTCGTTTGCTGCTTCGACGAATGGTTCCCCCCACCGCCAAAATTCTCCACCGCCACCTGACCCAATCAATTTCAGCCGTCAGTGCATTTCTCGTCCGCGAGCAGCCGTCCTTCAAATACACTGCATAGGACCTCCTAAAACTTCCCGATTCCCAGTAACCTCACATCACCACACCACCACCATCGGCACAGAAAACAAGCAACGCACACTACTCTCCTGATTCCAGCATACCTCATCAGTAATAAGTGACTGGCTCTTGTACAGTAGTTCGCCGTACTACTTTGTAGAAGACGTAAGGATTAGCTAACTTGTATAGAATTCTCGAGAGGTTGAATCCCCATACCAGTTCTTCTGATCAATTCAATATCGTTTTCTAGTCTGTCAAATCCACCATGCTGAGACGGCAAACTCTTCGTCTCAGGCATGCGGCGCCACTAGGTGTCCTCCTCCTCGTCGTATGCATTTCCAGAGTCGCAGCGTTGAGACGAGTGTTAAATGAGGCACCTCCCATTTACGACGGCGCCACGGAGCTTCAAAAGGTTCGCGAGGCTCTTCGATCGGCGGGTTACACGGAATTCCTCGAACGGCTCAACAATCATCGTGCGTATCTTCACCTCCCGCTGACCGTTGTTTTCGTCCAGACTGAGTATTGCACTTGCCCAATAACTTCTCCACTTCGCATTATGCCCCTTGCTGTCCGTTTACAGAAGTATTGAATGTAATTCGGCCCGCGCTGAATCATTATCAGCTCACCATATTCGCCGTACCGAACCACGCCATTCTCGGCGCGGCAAACGGCACCGCCGTTCCTCCCGGCTGCGCCCGTGCCGTGTCGGCGACGAGAAGATCGGAGTCTCCTTCCGATCTGATGAGTTCCAGCATGTCTTTGCACATCGTTCTCGGCCTCTTCACAGCGGAGGACATTATTGACTCACCTGATGGTACGAAGGTAAGGAGTTTCGGCTGCATTGATAGAACACTTCTGAAATTTTGTGTTGTTCTGGTGGTTTTTTACGCCTGTTAGCATTCTTACGCTTCGCGTGTTTGCAGTTTGGAGACATCAAAGGCTACGAGTCAAACTATGTGAAGAGTTTTCACGCAATCAACAGAGACAGAAAGGGCCCTTTGAACAAGCAAGTATTGCTTACAAATCCTCACGTAGGCAGCAGACGAATCCCACTAATCTCTCCTGATTTGTTTCTCGACCAACATGTGTCCATTCAAGGGCTCGATGGCATTTTGTGCGGGCCAATTCCTCTAAGCAGCAGCTGAGAAGAAATGGTGGTCTGATCAGTTAGGGGAGCAGCAGCTGGGAAGTCACAATTGTTATTAGGAATGATAAAAGTTGTTTATGTTTCCCTTGTATCATATATTTATAAAATGAAACATGTAAGAATATTTCGGTAGACTAATAACTTTGTATCAGTGGTATTCATTCGGCCGAACACCGAACTATACAGAAATCAGTTGTAACGGCGAAAATGGCTTGAAGATCTTGGCTCGACTAGATCTCGGTTCGGTTTGCCCAGTCAGCACGCTTCCACGTTTCGCGCCACTCAAACAGAAGCAAACCTAGCCCAAAGGCTATCTGCCACAGCACTGCTCTTCCGAACCTCCATTCCTCCAATCATAGCTCCTAGAGGCACATGCCAGTTCACTTGTCGAGAGCTTATGCGCGCCAAACTTACGTAAGCTCGGGCCGAACGAGGTAAACAAATGGTGCCGAAGCACAGCCTGTGAAGGTTCGTTTTTGCGAAATTCTCAAGGAAGCCTGTTTCTTCTGCAGCACTGCCTTCAGTGAAGTCAGAGCAGGGGATGGTATGGCGGTGTGAGCGGGATTCAAGACGAGAGGAAGATAAAGAGTCAGTAGTTTTTCAAAAAGCCTTCGAGTTTCAGATCTTGGATGCAGTAGGCAGGTTAGGTGTAGGCCCAGCCGTAGGATCCTCTTAGTCGTTCAATCCTGTGTGACTAAGTTCGAGATCCCGGTTCTAGGGTCGTACCCTAGTCGTAGTCCGCTGTGGATTCTTCTAGAGCATTTCTTTAGCATAGTAACGCCTCTTGTGACAGAGCGTCAGTTCTTATCCCTTCGATCATGCTGGGAGACAGAAGGTGTGTGATCATTTGCGCTTTCAGCTTATGACAGTACGGTTATAACGAATCAAGGGAACTTACATCCTGTTGCGTGGTGTATGTCTGCAGAGGAGCACCATCCCGGAGGGGAATGACCGTGCTCGGGAAGATTCCTGCCGTTCCAAAACCTATTAACCTTCCCAGTCAAAAGTATGATTCGAGCTTTTCGTTTCCCGCCTTTCATCTGCCCTCATGCTTTCGGATCTGACGAATTTTCTGGTTCTACGTCGCAGGCTTGAGAACAAAGGACTCGACCCATCAGTCGCACTTGTCCCACGGTAACCCACATCCTCTGAACCATACTTATGGTTGTATTTTCTGCAGTTTTCTTTTATTTGTTTATTTACGACTTGCGTGCCAATAACTCCCTTCCTTCTACATTCACTTGTTTTTTTACCCCGTGGATTTTTTTTTCCAGAGGAAGTCTTACATGGGGATCCAACAAGCCCACTGCTCCCTCAGCCTGGGCCGTTCCTGAACCCCCTCCACCCGCTGCTCCGTCTGCATGGAAGCCGCCTGGCGCAGAGCAATCCCCACCACCCCCTTCCGTTTCCACGTGGCCTCAGCCCAATGGAAATCCCTCTCCAGTCAACCGCTCCCCTGTCCCTCCGTATCCCCCGGGGCCCTCATCTCAAGGACCCCCTGGTTCTGGACCGCCAGGTCTGGGGCCTCCAGGTCCGGGAGCGTTTCCGAGCCTGACTTCTGACCGTAGGAGCCCCGTGCCTGGTGGTCCAGATTCGTCGTATCAGCAGCGGTCGCCTCACCACGAGGGGGAGCCTGGCGCATCTGGGTACCCGCAGTGGGGGGGACAGGGACCAGGGGGCCCGCGCGAAGGCCCGCGGGGGGGAGCGTACGGGGGGACGCCGCCAGGTGGTTCGCTGCGGAGCTCGCCTAACCCCTCTGCGTGGTCGACCTCCACCGTGCGTCCCTTCCCCTGGCCCTTTCTCCGTCCCTCTCCTCTTCCCTCTCCTCTTTCCTCTCCTCGTCCCTCTCCTCGTCCCTCTCCCTCTCCTCGTCCCTCTCCCTCGCCTCGTCCTTCTCCCTGTCCCGATCCTCGTCCCTCTCCCCGTCCCTCGCTCGACCCTCGCTTGCGTCACTCCCAACGTCCCTCTCCTGCGTCCCTCCTTCCCGTCGGTCGCCGGTTCGTCTCCTTGTCGTCAAACCCCTTTCTAATTCCATGTCCCTGATATCTTGGAACTTGATCCGGTCGCTCCGCCCCACTGGGCCTCCACGCCCGTGTCTCTTCCGTGTTCCGTTGTCTCTCCTCCGCTTGTGTATCAATCTTGTTCGTTGGTCCAGGACCGTCATGGCGAATCGGACGGCAAAGGAGGGCAGTTCCATCTGTCGGCGGGAGATTTTCCCTCGCTGGGATCCGAACAGGCCAAGCAGCAGCAGCTGCAGCAGCAGCAGGAGCAGGAGCAGCAGGGGCAGCAAGGCCAGCAGCAGCAGCAACAGCAGCAAGAGGGTTCGCGTCATCCGAGTGAGCAGGACGGTGCCGGGTATTACCGAGGGAGGGACGACGGGCAGGAGCACGGAGAGCACGGGCGGCGTGGTGAAGGTGCGTGTTGCTTGGGAAGAAGCTTGTTGGGAGGGGGTTTGTGGGCTCTGGGAAGGGTTGAGGGGGTGGGGGGGGACAGGGAGGGGTTAATGTCTAGCTGCAAGTGAACCAATGAAACTGTCACAACGTGCGTGAAAGTCAAGAAATTTTCATGCATACGAAGGAAGATATAACGCGGAGACATGAACACCTCAAGCCTTGCGAATGGTTTTTTTTTGTTTTCAAGTTAAGGAATGAACCTTGACGTGCTGAAACGTGCCTTGCTGACCGACCTGTTCTCCTGCGCGCAGGGCCCATGGGATGGGACCAGGGCATGGGGCGCAGGCCTGGCGCGGGGCCGGAGCAGATGATGCCTGCGCGCTGGCATCCGCACCCCCCGGGCCCCGGAGGCGCGGGCTTTGAGGATCCCCCTCCGCACGGCATCTGGCCTGCGCACAGGGCGGACCGTATGCCTCCCCCTCCTGGGGACACGTGGCACCGCGGCGGCCCTGATGGTGACACGTGGCGTCATGGATCTGGTGGGAGCGGTGGGGACGGGGGTGGCGGAGGTGGAGGCGGAGGAGCGGGGGCGACGTGGCGGAGGTGTGAGGTTGGGGTTGGGAGGTCCCCGCCTCCGCCGGGTGCGGGCGCGGGGGCGGAGATGTGGCGGGAGAGGGGTCCGGAGAGTGAAAACTGGCGCGCGGGGGGACCAGCAGGAACAGGACCAGGCGCGGGTGGCGCAGCAGGAGGGGGGGGGGCCGGGGGAGAACTGGCGGGGGCCGCCAGGGATGGCCCCGCCAATGGGGTATGGGCGTGGCGGGGGACACCCAATGTATCGCGGACCAGAAGGCCCGGAGTTCGGGTTTGCGCACGGGGCCGGGCGGGGGGGCCCTCCGCCTGGGGCAATGTACGACGGGCCCATGCGCCCGGGGATGATCCCCCCGCACGGCTACGGCATGCACATGGATCCGCGGGGAGGGGGGAGGTTTGGCGCGCGGTATGGCCCGGGGCATGGGCCGGGCGTGGGGATTCCGCATGGTCCGCAAGGGAGAGGCGCGGGCCCGCAGTTTGACATGCCCCCCGGAATGTTCCCACCTCCCCCGCCGTTTGACCATTTCCATGCGCCGCTGGGGCAGGGCCGTCCGCCTTTCCGCCCCATGGGCGCGCACGAGTTCATGGGCGCGGGGCGGGGAGGCCCCCAAGGGTTCGACGGGCGCGGGGGCATGGCGCGGGAGCATGCGGGGCGCGGACATGGCCGTCCGCCCATGGAGCCGTACGGTCCGCGCGGGGAAATTGGCGCCGGGGATGGATGGCAGGGGCAGCCTTCTGCGCCGGGGGTGGCTGACGAGGGGAAACGGAGGGGAGGGGAAGCCGGGGAGGCTCAAGAAGGTAGCGAAGCGCAGCGGAAGGGGCAGGAGCAGTCTCAGCAGCAGCAGCAGTCACAGTCGCAGCAGCAGCAGCAGCAGACTCAGTCGCAACAGCAGCAAGCTTCGCAGCCGCATCGGCCATACCACAAGGATCACCACATTGGGATCGACTGGGCCTCTGCAGAGAGCGAAACCATGGACTTTTCAAAACCCGCGTTTGAGGATGACCCGTTTCTGGGTAGAGCACCGGAGGGGACTCCGCGCGGGACAGATGGAGGTAAGGGGGAACAGGGGGCGCGGGAATCTGGGAGGGGCGCGGAAAGCGCTGGAAGAACGCAGCCGGAGCAGGTGCGCATTTTGAAGCGGCCGGAGGGTGGGGCGCCTGGCGGAGAGGCTGTGGCGCAAGGGGTTAGTGCGGGCAGTGGGAATGCAGGTGTGGCTGCGCAGGTCGCATCTGGGCCGGTGCCAGCTGCGCAGGCAGCAGCAGGTGCGCATGCAGCGGGCGTGACCGGTCCGAGCGCAGGGCTTGGGAGGGAGGTCCTGGTTAAGAGCCCGCGGCCGTTCAGCCGAGGCCCTCTGCGGTCGCCGCGGGAGGTGCCTCAAAGGAGAGCCTCTCCCGCTCCTGATCCCAGTGCTGCACCTGGTTCCGCGCCTGGTGGCTCCGCGCCTGGTGGCTCCGCGCCTGGTGGCTCCGCGCCTGGTGGTTCCGCGCCTGGTGGCTCCGCGCCTGCTGGTTCCGCCGCTGCCGCATCTGCTTCCGCTCCTGCTGCCGCGCCTGCTGCTGCTGCTCCAGCCACGGGTCCTTCTGCTGTTAAAGCGACGCCTGGTGGCAGTGTAGGTGAGAAAGGTTCAGGGGGGGGGGCAGGGCAGGCAGTGGCGGGAAAGCAAATGCAGTCAGGTCCCAGTACAGTGCCCCAGCAAGCGCAGGGTGCATCCGCGGGAGGTCCACAGGGGGGTGCGCAAGCAGCGGCGCAAATGGCGCAAGGGGAGCAAGCGGCTGGATCAGTGCCGGTACCAGGGGCTGCAAGAGGTGATACTAACGTTGCTGCTGCAGCAGCAGCCGCTGCTGCTACTGCTGTTGCTGCTTCTGCCACTGCTGCTGTGGCCGCTGCGGCTGGAACGTCTGCTCCTCAGCAGCAGCCAGAGGCTTTGCCAGCCGATGCTGCTGCAGGTGTGCCCGTTTCCCCACGCCCGTCAGTCTCAGCACCCGCGCCAGGCGCGCAGGAACAGGGTCCGGGGAGTGGATTTGCTGCCGCTGGCGGAGCTGGGGCGGGGCGGGGCCGCGGGCGCGGAAGAGAGCAAGGCAGGCTGAGGGGGACGGGGGAGGCGGACGGGCGGTGGATCCCCGCGCGGCAGCAGGGGGAGGCGCAGGGCAGGGGGGATGGAGGCGCGGGCAGAGGAATGGGCGGAAGGGAGGGGCCTGTGCAGGGCCGGAGGGGGGCGGTTGGTAGAGTGGCGGAGAGGGAAGAGCAGGGGCAGCAGAGAGGGGGGGCAGGGCAGGTCGGGCAGGTGGGTACCGGGGCGAGTATGGCAGGTGGAGTGCCAGGGCAGGGAACTGAACCGGAAGCTCCGAATTCAGGGGCAGTTGCTGGTTCTGCTACTTCAGGCCTAGCACAGAACTCCATGGAAGGGGCAGTGGGAGGTGTGGCAGGAGGAGGTGGAGGAGGAGGAGCAGCAGCAGCAGCAGCCGCAGGTGGAAACGTTAAGGCGGAGCCGCTACTCCCCGCGCCTACATCCGTTCCGCGGATTATCATGGGTCCCCCAATCCCCCAGTTCCTCGCCCCTGTCGGGCCTTCCCACGGGATGCGCCATCCCCAGTTCTTCCCCCACCCGCCCTTCCCCATGCAGCACAACCTTCCGCCTAACCTTCCGCCCAACATGCCCCCGAACGCTCCCCCTGGCGCGCGCCCCCCGTCGTTGCTCCCCGGACAGCAGGTGCTGCCTCTGCACCTGCTTCCGCCAGGCCATGCGCCCCCGCACCAACCTCCCCCCGGCGCGCATCCGCACGCCCATCCCCCTGCGCCCCCGACCCCCCAGCAGCACGCACAAGGCGCCAAAGACAGCCTGCTTGCGCTACCCGTGGGAGGGCCCGCCGGTTTCCTCGCGGGGATGCCTGCGCCAGGGGCGTGGGGGGGCTCTGGGGCACCGGGGGGACATGGGGTATCGGGGGGATCAGGGGAAGGAGCAGCTGGACAGGCGGTATCTGTGAATGAGAGGGCCAAGGGAGGGGCTGGGACGGGATGGGCTGGGGAGATGGCAGGTCAAGGCGGGGCAGGGAGAGGAGCAGCAGAAGGAGGAGTGGGAAGCGGTGGAGTGGTGTCTAACGGAGGATATGTGGAGGCAGGAAGCGTTGGCTCCGCTGGAAGCTCAAGAAAAGAAGGTGAGAAGGGCGACGATCAGTGAGTATATGCATCAGAGCAAGCATGTGCATTGAAGGAAGCGTGTTTACGAAAGAAGGCATGTGCATCAAAGGAAGCATGTTCATCAAAGTTCACCAAAATAGCACGGCGCCTGGATTGAGGAAGGGTAAAGTTGAGAACATGTGGTGCCCGTCTTAACAAGAGCACGCCATTTCTGGGGCTTTCCTTATCATTCCCCAACCCTTTCCCATTCCCCCAACCCTTTCCCGTTCCTTCAACCCTTTCTCCTTTCCCCAATTCTTTCTCATTCCCCCACCCCTTTTCTCGTTCCCCACCCACATCACGTGTGACTGGCTGCTCAAACCTTTTCTGCTTCACCCTTCGTGTTTTTCCCGACCCGCTACCTGCAGTGGTAACTACTCCTTCCCAGCCAGTCACAGCACCGCACCCAGCACCAGCATCAGCTGCCGAACCAACTGCGCCTTCCGGGCCTCATTCCGGGCCTCCACCCCCCACTGCTGCTAACTCAATCACCGGACCTGCTGTCCCTGCTCCCGTACCTAATGACGCGAGTGCAGGAGATAAGGGGGAGGTTGGGGAAGGAGCAGGTGGGGGGAGTAGAGGGAGGGGGAGGAAGCGGGGAGGGCAGAGGAGGAAGGGCGGAAGGGGGAAGGGAGGGGCGGAAGGTGACGTGGGGAGAGGAGAGGGGGCGGTTGAGGGGGATGCTTCTGGTGTTTCTGGGGGTGGTGGGAGTGCTGCTGGTGGTGGTGGTGGCGTATTGGGAGGAGGAGGAGGTGGCAGTGGGGATCAAAGGACTGGTACGTCACAACAGCAGCATGTGCAGCAGCTGCAGCATCTTCAACAGCAGCAGCAGCCACTGCAGCAGCAGCCACACCAGCAGCATGTGCAGCAGGTGCAGCAGCAGCAGCAGGCGCAGAGTTCAGGACACGGGCAGGAACAGGGGCAAGCACAGGGGCAGGGGCCGCGGCAGCAGAGGGGTGTGCGGGCGCAGGGGCAGCAACCGCAACAAGGGCAGCATGGGCAGCAGCACGGGCAGCAGGAGAAAGGGCGGTCAGAGAGTGAACAGCAGAGGTCTGCAGCAGCTGCTGCTGCTGCTGCCGCTGCTGCCAAGGTAGCCCTCTCGGGCATGCGAGGGGGAGCTCCGGCAGGGAGGGAGGTCAGGGAGGGAGGGGGCGGCGTTGGTGGTGCAGGAGCGGGCGAGGGATCAGCAGGGGCTGTAGCAACAGGGGGCGCGGGAGCAGTAGGGAGTGCAGCAGCAGCAGGAGCGGGTGGTGGAGGTTCAGGTGTAGGAATTCCCATTAGTGGAAACACAGTGGGTGGGGCAGCAGCAGGTGGGGCAGCCGCGGGTGGGGCGTCAGTGGGTGGGGCAGCATCGGCCGGGCAGGTGGCAAGGGAGCTGGGTGGCCAGCGGGGAGCATGGCAGGGAGCGCCTGGCAGCGTTGCTGCTATTGTGAGTGGGGGCCCTGCTGCTGCCACACCCGCTGCACCAGCACCAGCAGCAGCAGCAGCCGCACAGGGAGCAGCAGCAGCAACAGCGGGAGCAGCAGGAGCTACAGCAGCGGCGGCAGCGGCGGCGGTGGCGGCAGCAGCAGCGGCAGGCTCACAGGGAGGTCATGCAGCAGTGGTGGGCGGTATGGGCCCTCCTGGTATGCTGATGAACGCATGGGGGCGGCCAAGAGAGGGGCTGATTCATATCACCCCTCCTGCTGGCCATACGGGGGCTATGCAGATGCCCATGCCCATGCCCATGCCCATGCCCATGCACGTGCCAATGCATATGCACTTGGGTATGGCAATGCATATGCCCTTGGGTTTCGCGTCGCAGCATCTGCAGCAGCAGCACCAGTTACAGCAGCAACAGTTGCAGCTGCAGCAGCAGCAACAGCAACAGCAAATGCAGCAGCAACAGCAACAGCAACTGCAGCAACAACAGCAGCAGGTACAGCAGCAGCTGCAGCAACAGCAGCCGCAGCAACCGTCTGCCATCACCACATCAGCACCAGCAACTGCAGGAACTGTAGTGGCACCATCACCCCAAGCAGCAGCTGCAGCAGCAGCAGCATCTCAGCCCGCCCAAGCTCCTCCGCTTCTCACCCCTTCGCCACCCTCCGCTGCTGCTACGTCAGCTTCTGCCAGCTCAGCTCCGGTCCAGGCTGCCTGGTCCACGTCAGCTGCCCCTGCCCGCCAGCGCCGCGCTGAGATGGAGAGGTACGTCCCCAAGGGAGCTTCCAAGGCTGCATCCGCTGCCACCGCCCCTGCTGGTGGTGCTGGTGATGGTATTGCTGGTGGTGCCTCTAGCGCTGGTGCTGCTGCTGCCAATGGCTCTTCTCTAGCTGCGAATCCTGCTACTGGTGCTGCTGCTGGTACCGCTGGCACTGCTGCTACCTCCACGCCTTCCTCTGCCCCCTCCACTCCTGCCGCTGGTGACTCGAGCGCCAGCACTGCTGCTTCTGCTTCTGGTGCTGTAGCTGGGACCTCTGGGCCCAAGGGGCAGAGGGCTGGTGCTGGTGGGGACGCTGGGAAGCAGGCAGGAGGAGCAGGAGGAGGAACGGGAGGAGCAGGAGGAGCAGGAGGAGGAATGGGAGGAGCAGGAGCAGGAGGTGCAAAGGGTGATGGATCGCAAGGAAAGGGAGGAGCAAGGGGAGGAGGGCGTGCGGGCGGGAGAGGGGGGCGAGGGGGTGGCGGAGGCGCGGAAGGTTCTGCAGGGGGAGGGGGAGGGGGCGGAGGATCAGCAGGAGCAGGAGAATCGGGGGGTAGAGGAGGAGCAGGTGCAGCAGGAGGGGGAGGAGGAGGGGGGGGGAAGGGCACAGGAGCACGCACGGAGGGGGGAGGCAGTGCTGCTGGGGGGCCGGTGAGTGGAGCAGCGGCCACGGGGGGGCAAGGAGGGGGTGGGCGGAGGCATGGGGGAAGGCGAGGAGGGTCAGGGGGGAGGGGAACAAGTCAGGGAGGAAGTAATGGAGGGGAGGTGGTTGTGGGTGGGGATGGGAGTGGGGGAATGGGAGGTAAGGTAGATTCAGGGAAGGCTGCAACTAGTTGGGCTGCTGCTGCTGCAGCTGCTGCATCTGGTCCTGCTCCCCCTCGTCCATCCTCTTCAGGTGCCCCTTCAGGTGCCCCTTCAGGTGCCCCATCTGCAGCTGCGTCTGCACCCTCTGGTGGCAGTGTGAGCGGAGCGAGTGGAGGGAGCAAAGGTATCACTGCTTCTGCTGCACTGGGCACATTAACTGCTGGGAAAAAGGCTGAGCCTGTTGCTGGTGGGGTGGGCACTGGTGTGAAGGCAACTGGATGGGGTAGTGCAGGTCCCACAGGGATGGCCACTGGTGGGAAGGCCACTGGGGCAGCACTGCAACCAGCAGCAGCGGCAACAGCAGCTGCAGCACCACCCGCGAAACCTGCCATTCAGCCTAGACCAGGCTCGGCCGCACCTGGCCCTGCTCCTCCTGGCTCGGCAGCAGCTAGTGCAGCCGGGCCTGCTGTTTCTGCTAGTGGGTCTGGTGTGAGCAGCACAAGTGCTGGAGCTGCTGCTTCTGTTGCTGTTACTGCTGCGACTGCTGCCGCTGCCAATGCTGTTTCTGGTGCTGCCGCCTCGTCAGCATCTGTCTCTGCTCGCATTCGCGATGCGCCTTTGCAAGGGGGGGTGGGAATGGGGAGGGGTGTGAGGGGCGGGATTGTATGGGGCGGGCGTGGCAGAGGCTTGGGAGGTGGTCCGGGAGGAGGTCCAGGTGTACCAGCGCGAAGTTCGGAACGGCCTCGGGAGGTGATTAATGCGACGGGAGGGGCGCTGCCTCAGTCTCTCCGACAGGATGGGGGAGCGGGAGCGCTTGAGGGAGCATCTGGAAAAGGGGGAGCTGGAGCAAAGGGTTGATTTTTGCTGAGCTGGAAGTTAGGAGGATTGTTGGCACATTGCAGGTGAGCGTTTTCTGGTGTTGTCTATGCAACTGCAGGGGAATTGTTACTTCTGCTGCTGCTGCATGTTCGAGGGCCAGCAGTATGTGCTGCAAAACGTTCATTAGGTGGCTGTGCACCTTTGTCCCTTGATTGCTTTTGTTTTTGTTTGTGTATTTCCATAATTCACTGCTGTAATTCCTTTGTTGCCTGCTTGTTTTGTCATGTGTGCAGATCTGTTTGATGTTTCAGGCAGGTGATGATCGAGAATGACGATTTCTTATCATAATTCCTTTAAAGCCGTTTGCCTTTAAAGTCCTAGATGGCGTGCCTTGTGTTTCTGTGTTTCACAACCACTCAATATGGCTGGTGTGAAAGATGGTTAGGCAACAAATTAGGACTCTGGGTTTTAACCTGAGGGAACAATTACTGTAAGGATTCAGGAGGCAACGTTTATTGCCTTGATGATTTTTGTTGCCTTGTTGTGGATTATGCCACACGTCAGCCCTTCGTCAGTAGCCTTCGTGGGCAGGCAGCCATTGACTTGCAGCAGTGTGGCACGAAGAGACAGCTTCAAGGTCTGATACTTATCGGGCAGAGGAGGATAACATTTGTAGGGGGTGTGTCGATTAACTTCATTTTTGTGTCTGACATAGTTCGTTTGGGAGGAGAGACGGCCTTCACAAATTCGGTTCTAATACTGTAAAAGTTTTCAAGCGGGTGTCTACTCCTAAATTGTTCCACCTTGTTCCGGAGCGCCACCAGCCGCGGCAGCCACATAGTGGCCCACAATGTCGTTTCCCACGCCATGGCCCACATGCGCGCAACAGAATTTCTCAATTTTGATCGGCGTGCGCCAGCTGGAAAACGCGACATCGAGCATCACCGTTTGAATCATGAGGCGGCTGCACAGCGAAGCAAATCAAGCGTGTGAGCGCAATGACATTTTTTTATTATCGGGCATCTAGGGTTCCTGGGCTGATCGATTATGTTTAGATGGTCAGTAATGCCCTTGGAAATACACCGCCTCACAGCAGCCGAACTTTGAATACACGCCTATTTGTTTCACCTTCCTGCCCTGGGTAGATTCAAACTGTCATATCCACGTGCACGATGCCCTTTTTATTGCGGATGCTTCTGCCTCTTCCTCCTTGGGGTTGGGGCATGCACGCACAGTCCAGCGGAGAAACTCAAAACATCCTCCTCCTCCCTCCACCATGACAAGAAGCCTCAACCTCGTGTCTGGTGTTGGTATGGTGGTGGGCCCTTCCTCGGCTATTTCTGACCAACCACATTCCGTCATTGAGCCGCGGTGGTTGCTCATCGCTGCGCTGCGATTCACTCTTTCGACAACGCAACCCAATCCCGCGGCCCCATGCACGAGTGGGTGGCCACTAGCCAGCGGAGCGGAGCAATCTTGCCCATACTGTCCTCCGCGCTGCTCGTGTGAAGCCAAGGCTCCTTCCTTGCTCTCGCTCACACCACACCCCACCCCCCCCCCCCCCCCCCCCCAACACCTTTCCCTCCTCCAGCTCATCCTCCTCCATCCTTCCCCCAATCTGCGCATCGTCCCCATCAACTTCCCCCCCAGCCCCCTCGGCTCTCCTCCTCCCCCCCCCCCCCCCCCACTCCAGCTTTGTCTGCGCCTGGAACGCCACGCCACGCCATTCAACTCATCGCGTCCGAGGTTCTTCCGCTTGTCCACAATCCCCACGCGATCTCCCCCCAAGAGGCGAGGCGAATGAGGGGGCCCGCTTGCATTCCTCGAATCCAATCCTTCGCTTTTCTTCTGGATTTCGAACTGTAACCTTTTCCCTTTCCAGCTTTTATCCAATCCAACTCCAGCCCCCATTCTGTAAAAGATTTTTGCCTAGGGTGAAATTCCTCGTGTACTGAATTTTCCATTTCACCCACCACTCCCGCCAAATTCAACTCAGGCATCCCTTTCCCATTTCCTCTCCCCCCACCGCCTGCCTTCTGGTGTACAGCTGTGATCACGCTACCAAAAAGGTCTCACTGCGCGTCACCTGCCTCGATCGATCCTGCGCAGGTTCGATTTTTAATTCGGTTCAAAACGCTTTCAAACAAAACACGCGGGATGTTGTGCGGTGGACGATCGAACTTCCTCGATTCGATTGATCCAGGGAGGTGACGCGTCCTGATGCATCCCCGACGTCACATTCCCCAGCCGCGGCTGCAACTGCAACGCATCGGCAGTGTGCGGAAAGGTTGAGGGCCAGACTGAAACAAGCGGCATTATCGGCATTATCATCATCCTCCCTGCACTTGCTACTTCACAACACAATATTGCCTCATCATCTTCCAGCCTCGTCCGCCATAGACTTATAGCTCGTGACCGTCTAGCACAGGACTGGAACCGTGAAATTAGAATACGAGAAGCACATCCAACAAAGGACAACTCGATAGGATGTCACCGCACTTTCATGCTTCTCTTCCAAGAGACACTTCCTCAATAGAAGCTCTGAAAATGGACGACATTTCAGTTCTAGCGAAAAGGCGTCGCGTTGCATATCACTCCGCGTCGCGTGATTGCAGAAGCAGCCGTTCCCCGTTAGAAGCCGTCACTGCTGCCCCTTGTTTACACGATATAAGAACAAGTCATTGGCCCGTGGGTTGTCTGGACCAGCCCGCATCTGGCGGCGACCCTCGCCGCCCGTCCGAGGGTTGGAACGGCGGAAAAGAAGGGGAGGCTCCGCGATATCGCTTGATTACGCAAACGGCGACAGCGGGATGTGCTTCCGGGGAGAGCAATGACAGCGAGCCGTTGGGCGGAGGCTTCGGTAAGGGAGTAAATGCGAACAGCGGGGATGCTAACGCGGTCGCGAGGCTTGCGCTGATGGCGCAAGGTGAGGCCGCGCATGTGCAAATGGCGGAAGCGGAAAGGGAAAGACTTGCGGAACCTCGGCTGGGGTGGGAAGAAGGGGAGGGTGCGGAGGAGGAGGGGGAGGAGAGGGGGAAGGGGGAGATGGAGGTGAGGCGGAAGGACAGGCACCGGAAGGTGGACGGGCGCGGACGGCGCATCCGCATGCCCGCGGCGTGCGCCGCGAAGATCTTCCGCCTGACGCGGGCTCTCGGCCATCGGTCGGACGGCGAGACGATTCAGGTATTAAAGCCCGCTGCGGACCATTCGGCCGGTAAGTCCGTGTGACATAACGACAATAACGACAGCAATAAGACTGCGTGGCTTTTCAGCTATTGAACATCTTAGTAGCGTCATGGGAAGCATTCCATAATGCGAACAGGACTTGGACCTGTCATTACATGAATAGATTAGTTCTTCTCCGTTATCCTCTTTTTCCTGTGCAGTGGCTGCTGACTCGAGCGCGCCCGGCTATCCAGGTCGCGTTGAGCTCGGCATCGCAAATAGCGGCGCAAACTGCAGCGCAGCGGCGCGTCGTGGAGCCCAGCGGAGAACGCGCGGAGGGCCCACCCAACGACTGGGATTGCACGGATATTAGGATGGCGGAGAGGAAGAGAACGCGAGCCGATGATGCCGGCTTCAAAGAAAAATCGAGCGACGAGATTGTTCCACGCAGGAACTACGGTTTTTCTGTTGGCGCTGAGGATTTTCTGCAACAGCAGCAGCAGCAGCAGCAGCAGCAGCAGCAGCCGCCGCCGCCGCTCCCGCTCCCGCTCACTGCGCAGTGGAAGGGTTTGGACTCGGAAACGGCGTTTCGTGCCGTGCCAAGTCCTAACACAGAGTCATTGGCGCACCACAGCGCGCCGAGCACGGAAGGCCTGCTCCCGTCCGCCCTTACTTCCCTCGCAGCGCGCTTGGGCGGCGCGAGCTTCGCGATTCAGCGAGGTGCGGCTCACGACCATCGTGACGGAGAGACCGGCGCGACGCGTGCCCCCGATACAGGCGCGAGCTTTTTTATCCATGACCGCGAAATAGGCCTCGTTAATGCGTCCAGTTTTAGGACCACTAGCAGCACTGAAGGGGCTAGCACCTTGAGCCCCGCAGGCCTGCTTGCTCGCGACTCCCCCTTCACCCCGAGCTCGATAGCTGGTTCTTCGAGTGGTGTCGTTGCGGGTAGTGGTAGCGCGGGTGCGGCGCAAATAGCAGGGCCGGAGAGTAGGGCTGTTGCTCCCAACGGCTTGTGGGATGTTAGTGCCGCTCATTCTGCCATTGCGGTTAGTTCTTACAATTCGTCGCAACTAAGTCCGCCAATTCCAGCGAGTCCCGTCGCCAGCCAGCGCCTACTAGAGGCCTCTCTCCTGGCCCTGGCCAGGGTAAGCGGACTTGACGGAATCCGTTTGCTGACGGAACAGTTGACGGCGGCTCAGTCGGGGATATCTGCTGCAGCCCAGCAAGATGCGGTCGCGTTGCTCCCCGCCCCGTCGGACCTGCCGGCTGCGGCAGCAAGAGAGGCGCCAGAGCCCGTCATCCTCCCTGCCGCGCCTGGCGGGAAGCGCCCTTCGAGATTTTCGCCGTTGGGGGGCGACGCGCGATTGTCGTCACTGGGAGTGGGCGCTCACATGTCCCCGTTGGAAGCAGATGCTCGAATGTGTCCGTTGGGAGCGGGTGTTTCAAATTCGCCGTTGGGAGCGGATGCGGAGGCGCATCACCTGGAAATTCTCACCGGCGTGGTCGACGCAGCGACAGACGCGCGACGTACGGGCGTAGTGACAGCCGCGCCACACGCGCGAATAGGCCCTCGGTTTGATCCATGTCGTCCGGCCTCTGGATTGCAAGAACTCAGCAGGCTTCCGCGGTGAGATTCCCTGCAATCTCAATTTCAGAGAGTGCTCGTTTGCGACCGCGCAGGTCCTTTGTATAACCATGTTCGCTGTGTTGGTTTGAAATACTTTTTTTGCGCATTGTTTACAATAAATTTCTTGTATGTACGTCTGCAGGGCTCGTGACGCTACTGAAGCTCCGCCTGCCCAACCGTCCCCTTCGTGGCTGTTCAGATCGCATACCGAGAGAGAAGATTGGCCTGCGGTGGTCGCACGAAGCCCGCGATTCGCGGCAGCGGCTAGCAACACTGATTCGCCCTTCAAGACGCCCTCTGCGGCGCGGCTTCTGCCAGGTCCGAAACTCAACACTGGGTCTGCGTGGGAGGGTCGCGGAGAAGAAGGCGAAGTGGAAGTGAGGCTCGATCTAGGGCTCAGCCTGACTGGGGAACGTGGAATGAATCGCGAGTAGAATACTCCTAGTTCGGATGTGTTTACGGTACTGGCTGTGAGCGTGAGGCTAATCAATTTGCTCTGACGTAGGAGGTTGTGTGGAATGGGAGTTGTGCAATATATTGTCGCTTTATTTACCTCCGATGGTGGAAGGACAATCCATGGTGGCTACTGCCAATGTTCCATGCTTTTGGTGTTGGGTGTGAAGCTGGAAATCGACGATGCGAGTCGAAAATCGAGCTGCGAAAGGCGCAATTTTCGCACCTGAATGTTCGCGCACCTTGAAACTGCAGATACGACAGATATATTGGCACGTTGGCGAAATCTGGGGAAGTAGAGGGGACCGCGCATCAGCAAGAGCGAAGTTCCTGGTGCAGATGGGATGAAGAAATGACGCTTCCTTACAAGCTTAAAACCGGAGGGCCAAGAAGGCCCAAATCGCCTCAACCTTCCTAGCCTTGGTTGAGTTTGGCACTCGCACCCAAAACCTTAGCCAATTGTGTTGCTCACTCCAACCAAGTTTCATAAGGTTGAAGTTCTTGGCCTGCGGGTTTTAAAGGACACATCCAGAATTACCGTGTCGGCCCCAAAACTGTCACCACTTTCGTGTGATTGGTCGAAGGTTTTGAGCGGGTTTTTGACGCGATTGGTTCTCGATTTCCCCACCGAACCTGTCTCTGGGGTTTCCCGAACCTACAATTTTTTCGTTGACTTCTTTGTGTAATTCGGGGTGTGGCCTTTAAAGCTCGCGGCCCAAATTGCGGGGCGCGCTGGCCAAGCTTACTAAGGTTGACGGGGGTGATGTTTTGAGTGCTGTTTGGGTTGCGAAGGGTGGTTACGAGAAGTGAGATGCAATCTGATTGGCCAGTTTTTTTTTGTCGAATGGGAGAGCAGGGAACAACAATATGTTGATTGCAATTTGGGACTCTAGAAGCAAACCCAGGTTGCTCCCAGGGGTTTGCGTGTCAACGAAAACCCCAAGGGTCTAGCGCGAAACTGGGCGAAAGGAAACAGCCCAACTCCCAACAAGTCAACTTCTTCTCCCACCACCCAAAGGTCAACCTTACTAAGGTTGAACAATTTGGGCCGCGAGCTTTAAAGGCCAAACCCCGAATTACTCAAAGCTGGTCAACTCGGCAAAACCTAAGTTCGGGAGGAGGTTGGGGGAATGGTTCGGAACAAAAGCGAACGCAAAGTTTCGCGAAAAGAATGGGCGAAAGCAAAGCGAATCGCAACACTGGGCCCCAAGCAACCGCCCCAAACTGGAAAGTCAATGCCTTTGCTGAATTACCGTCACGCCACCAAACTGTCATCACTTTTGGGCACAGCCTAAGTCACTCGACAGGCCGAACAGCAGGGGAAAACCGCGACGCTCCAGTTCCTATCTGGTTCCGCGCAACGAACGACGACGACAGTCATGACGATGACTCCCTCACTCCATGTGAGCGTTTAGGGAAGGAACATAGCTCAAAGAGCACCATAGCATTCAAGATGCCACGCCACTATTAGAATTGGGAGAAAAGATGCGAATGTGAGAGCACGAGTCGCGTAGGGAAAACGTGAGGCGAATGTAACAGCAAGCGTCGCGTAGGGAAAACGTAAGGCGAATGTTAGAGCAAGAGTCGCGTAGGGAAAACGTGAGGCGAATTTGACAGCAACAGTCGCGTAGGGAAACCGTGAGGCGAATGTGAGCGCAGGGGTCGCGTAGGGAAAACGTAGGGCAAATGTGAGCGCAAGAGTCGCGTAGGGAAAAGATGAGGCGAATGTGAGAGCAAGAGACGCGGAGGGAAAACGTGAGTCGAATGTGAGAGCAAGAGACGCGGAGGGAGGGCGAGACGCGCATGCGAGAGCAAGATACGCGGAGGTAATACGTGAGGCAAATGTGAGAGAAAAAAACGCGGTGGTAAAACGCGAGGCGCTTCAGGGAAAGCGAGAAACGCGGAGGGAAAACGTATTCGCAAATGCGAGAGCAAGATGCGCGGAAGCAGGGAAGGGGGAGGCGCATGCCTCTGGCAAAAAACGCGGAGGAAAAACGAGATGCGCATGTGAGAGGATGAAACACGTAGAGAAACGAGACACAGATGTGAGAGGATGGAGGGCGGAGAGATGACGGGAGGCGCATGCGAGAGGAAGAAGAGAGGGAAAACGTGAGGCACATGCGAGGGGAAGAAGAGAGGGGGGGGGGGGGGGAAACGCGGGGCGCATGCGAGAGGAAGAAGAGCCAAGGGGAAACGTGAAGCCCATGCGAGAGGAAGAAGTGAGGGGGGGAAACGCGAGGCTCACGCGAGAGGAAGAAGAGAGGAGGGGAAACGAGAGGTGCATGCGAGAGGAAGAAGAGAGGAGGGGAAACGTCAGGCGCATGAGAGAGGAGGAAGAGAGGAGGGGAAACGTGAGGCGCAGTAAAGAGGAGGACGAGAGGACGAGTAACCGGACGGCGCATGTGAGAGGAAAAGGAGAGGAGGGGAAACGTCAGACGCATGAGAGAGGAAGAAGAGAGAAGGGGAAATGTGAGGCGCATGCCTGAGTAAGGGGAGAGGGGGGGAATCGTCAGGCGTATGAGAGAGGATGAAGAGAGGAGGGGAAACGTCAGGCGCATGAGAGAGGAGGAAGAGAGAAGGGGAAATGTGAGGCGCATGCCTGAGGAAGGGGAGAGGGGGGGAAATGTCAGGCGTATGAGAGAGGATGAAGAGAGGAGGGGAAACGTCAGGCGCATGAGAGAGGAGGAAGAGAGAAGGGGAAATGTGAGGCGCATGCCTGAGGAAGGGGAGAGGGGGGGAAACGTCAGGCGTATGAGAGAGGATGAAGAGAGGAGGGGAAACGTCAGGCGCATGAGAGAGGAGGAAGAGAGAAGGGGAAATGTGAGGCGCATGCCTGAGGAAGGGGAGAGGGGGGGAAACGTCAGGCGCATGAGAGAGGATGAAGAGAGGAGGGGAAATGTGAGGCGCATGCCTGAGGAAGGGGAGAGGGGGGGAAACGTCAGGCGTATGAGAGAGGATGAAGAGAGGAGGGGAAACGTCAGGCGCATGAGAGAGGAGGAAGAGAGAAGGGGAAATGTGAGGCGCATGCCTGAGGAAGGGGAGAGGGGGGGAAACGTCAGGCGTATGAGAGAGGATGAAGAGAGGAGGGGAAACGTCAGGCGCATGAGAGAGGAGGAAGAGAGAAGGGGAAATGTGAGGCGCATGCCTGAGGAAGGGGAGAGGGGGGGAAACGTCAGGCGCATGAGAGAGGATGAAGAGAGGAGGGGAAATGTGAGGCGCATGCCTGAGGAAGGGGAGAGGGGGGGAAACGTCAGGCGTATGAGAGAGGATGAAGAGAGGAGGGGAAACGTCAGGCGCATGAGAGAGGAGGAAGAGAGAAGGGGAAATGTGAGGCGCATGCCTGAGGAAGGGGAGAGGGGGGAAACGTCAGGCGTATGAGAGAGGATGAAGAGAGGAGGGGAAACGTCAGGCGCATGAGAGAGGAGGAAGAGAGAAGGGGAAATGTGAGGCGCATGAGAGGGGGAGAGATGTTGAGCGGAAACGTGATGCGCGTGCGAGAGTAAGAAAAGAGGAGGGGAAAGGTGAGGCTCGTGCGAGGGGAAGCAGAGAGGGGGGGGAACGCGAGGCGCATGCGAGAGGAAGAAACTCGGAGATCAAACGTGAGGCGCATGCGAATGAAAGAAGAGAGGAGGGGAAACGTGAGGTGGATGTGAGAGGTACAAGAGAGTGGGGGAAACGTGAGGCGCAGGTGCTGAGGAAGGGGATAGGAGGGGGAACGTGAGGCGCGATAGGAAGAAGAGAAACGTGAAACGTGAAATCCCCCCTGCTCTCTTCAATTTGCCCCTTCTCTCTCCTCTTCCCCCCCTGCTCTCTTCAGTTTCCCCCCAGCACCCTTGAGATTCCCCCCTCCTCTCTTCGGTTTTCCCCGTGCTCACCTCCTCCTGCTGTCTTCAGGGTACCCCCAGCTTTCTTCTTATTCCCCCTGCTTTCTTCATCTCACCCCTGCTTTCTTCGTATTCCCCCTGCTTTCTTCATCTCCCCCCTGCTTTCTTCGTCTCCCCCCTGCTTTCTTCAGTTTCCCCCCTGCTTTCATCATCTCACCCCTGCTTTCTTCATATTCCCCCTGCTTTCGTCAGTTTCCCCTCTGCTTTCTGCATCTTCCCCCTGCTTCCTTCAGTTTCCCCCCTGTTTTCTTTATCTCATCCCTGCTTTCTTCATCTCTCCCCTGCTTTCTTCATCCCACCCCTGCTTTCTTCATCTCACCCCTGCTTTCTTCAGTTTCCCCCCATATGTCTTCATCTCCCCTCTGCTTTCTTCATCTTCCCCCCTGCTTTCTTCATCTCCCCCTTGCTTTCTTCATCTCCCCCTACTTTCTTCGTCACTCCACCCTGCTTTCTTCATCTCCCCCCTGCTTCCTTCAGTTTCCCCCCTGTTTTTTTCATCTCATCCCTGCTTACTTCATCTCCCCCCTGCTTTCTTCATCTCCCCCCTGCTTTCTTCATCTCCCCCCTGCTTTCTTCATCTCCCCCTGCTTTCTTCATCTCCCCCCTGCTTTCTTCATCTCCCCCCTGCTTTCTTCATCTCACCCCTGCTTTCTTCATATTCCCCCTGCTTTCGTCAGTTTCCCCTCTGCTTTCTGCATCTCCCCCCTGCTTTCTTCAGTTTCCCCCCTGTTTTCTTTATCTCATCCCTGCTTTCTTCATCTCTCCCCTGCTTTCTTCATCTCACCCCTGCTTTCTTCATCTCACCCCTGCTTTCTTCAGTTTCCCCCCATATTTCTTCATCCCCCCTCTGCTTTCTTCATCTTCCCCCCTGCTTTCTTCATCTCCCCCTGCTTTCTTCATCTCCCCCTGCTTTCTTCATCTCCCCCTGCTTTCTTCATCTCCCCCTGCTTTCTTCATCTCACCCCTGCTTTCTTCATCTCCGTGGAGGGACTTGTGCATACAATGGAAAACAGACCCAGCAGTTCACTTGTGTCACTTGTGTGGAAAGATGGACTTCTGGCCACCTTGTGCATACACTGGAAAACAGATTTGCGCACCTTCATCTCCTGTAATTAGTACGAGAGGTCCATGGTTAGCCTCCATGAGTTTGCCAGGCTGGCCCTAATCAAAACGGAGCTAACACAAAGTTCTTTTCGGGGTTGATTAAATACCTGGGCCAGCTACTTATTGAAAAAGACTGGGTTCAGGCTTGGACATCGTAACAACTGGGTCCAACTGTCAATTGACAGGCTGAAACATTCAAGTTTACAACACATACATTGCATGGTCCGCCGCGTTACAACTCAGCTAATCAATCTGGGAGCTGGGTGTGAAGTGTCATCCTTTAATGATTGGAGCATGGAGCTGCTGCCAACCCTCATCACGCGCCCCTTGCCAAACGACAGCGTCTTGTTGCTGCTGCTGTCCGCCGCGGGGCGCGCGTTGCTCCTGCCCCTGTTTAGCCCCTAGAAGCTCCGGGGCGATGGGATGATGCACCGCCGCGCCAGGTACTCGTCGGGTGCCAGCGGCAGCCCAGCGCAGTGCGCGTGGCGGTGAGCAGCTCGGGGAAGCTCTCGAGGGCGTCGAGCTGGTCGTCCAGCAGCAGCAGGTACACCTCCACCTCCGTCTTCGCCTGCTGGTGGGGAGGAGGGGGAAGGGGGGGGTGGGGGTGTTCAAGGGGGAAAAGGACATTGGAATGGGGCAACGAGGGCAGCAGTGTGATGGCGTGTGAGAACCCGCCAGACTCGTATGCCATAGTTGTGCCACATCCCTGGCCCTTCTCGCACATTCACTGCTCTTCCCCCCCAAGCAAACTGAATTACCATCCCCTCCAACTCAGCACCTGCCATGGGAAGAGATGCTGCTGCAATATGAGGTGCAAGGTGCAAGCATGGCAGTGAGGGCAAGCATGGCAGTGAGGGCAGGCATGGCAGTGAGGGCAGGCATGGCAGTGATATTAAGAAAACAAGCAGGCACATGGAAAAGCATGCACATGGACAAGAGTGGGCATAGACATGCATGCACATAGACATTCATGCGCATAGACATTCATGCGCATAGACATGCATGCACATAGATGTGCATGCACGTAGATATTCATGCACATAGCAGAGCATGCACGTGGACATGCATGCACATAGACATGCACACACCCACCCACCCACCCACCCACCCACCCACCCACCCACCCACCCTCCAACCCACCCACCCACCCACCATCAATGGATAGCAGCTGACGGTGATGTGCGGTGTAGTAGCCAGCATCACAGGGCGATGTGCGCGCCACAGAGGTGCCACGGATATGCCCCTCCCGATGGCATGCTAGCAGGGCGCGCGCCTGGTGGCGGGGAGGGGGATGGGGAGGGCGATGTGAGGGGATGCAGATAGAAGGAGGTGGGGGGAGTGCATTGGCCTGAATGGACTGCAGGGACGCAGGGAAGGGGACATGGGGAAGCATGTGAGGGGACATGGGGAAGAAGGGAACGGGAGGGGGGGAAGCAGGTAACCGGACATGGGGAAGCAAGTAAGAGGATGGAGGGAAGCAGGGAAGGGGACATGGGAAAGCAAGTAAGAGGGAAGCAGCGAAGGGGACATGGGGAAGCAGGGAAGGGGACATGGGGAAGCAGGGAAGGGGATATTGGGAAGCAGGGAAGGGGACAGAGGGAAGCAGGGAAGGGGATATTGGGAAGCAGGGAAGGGGTTGTATTGTTGTAGGGAAGGGAAGCAGGGAAGGGGAGTGTGCGAGGCCTGCGAGGAGTTGTATTGTTGTTCCAGGGGTCGACTGTTGGAGAGGACAAAACAGAGGGAGCGTGAGGAGGGATGCGAGACGAAACACTGAGGGGCAAAGGGGGGGCAGGGCAGAGGGGAAATAGGCAGGGAATGGTGCAGTGAGGGGGAGCAAGGTGCAGTGAGGGGGAGCAAGGTGCAGTGAGGGGGAGCAAGGTGCAGTGAGGGGGAGCAAGGTGCAGTGAGGGGGAGCAAGGTGCAGTGAGGGGGAGCAAGGTGCAGTGAGGGGGAGCAAGGTGCAGTGAGGGGGAGCAAGGTGCAGTGAGGGGGAGCAAGGTGCAGTTTACAAAGTAGCAAAGCGTCCACCCATCCCCCCTCCCCCACCCTGTCGTTATGCAGAATAACAGACTGCACAGCAAGTACTCACACACACGTAGACACCCACACATGGGAAGGGGGGAAGGGGACATGGGGTAGCAGAGAAGGGGACATTGGGAAGGGGGGAAGGGGACAGAGGGAAGCAGGGAAGGGGACAGAGGGAAGCAGGGAAGGGGATATTGGGAAGCAGGGAAGGGGACATGGGGAAGCAGGGAAGGGGATATTGGGAAGCAGGGAATGGGACATGGGGAAGCAGGGAAGGGGATATTGGGAAGCAGGGAATGGGACATGGGGAAGCAGGGAAGGGGATATTGGGAAGCAGGGAAGGGGACATGGGGAAGCAGGGAAGGGGACATGGGGAAGCAGGGAAGGGGACATTGGAGCAGCAGGGAAGGGGATGGGTTGGAGCAGGGCACGGGATGGGGGGAAGCAGGGAGGGGGATGGGGGGAAGCAGTGAGGGGGATGGGGGGAAGCAGGGAAGGGGACATGGGAAAGCACGGACGGGGAGGCGGGAAAGAGGCAGAAATGCGGATGGGGGGAAGCAGGGCTTGGGATAAGGGGAAAGAGTGAGACTTCGGAGGGACGCAGGGAAGGGGATGGGGGGAAGCAGGGCACGGGATGGGGGGAAGCAGGGAAGTGGATGGGGTGAAGCAGGGAAGGGGATGGGGGGAAGCAGGGCTGGGGATAAGGGAAAGAATGAAGAGGATGGGGGGAAGCAGGGCTGGGGATAAGGGAAAGAATGAAGAGGATGGGGGGAAGCAGGGCACGGGATGGGCGAAAGCAGGGAAGGGGGGGAAGGGCGCCGATTATTGGAGGGAGGGAAAAGAGGGAGTGGGGGGAGAATAAGTAGGGTGAGACGTGGGCGAGACGGGAAGGGAGGCGGGAGGGAAGGCGCGGTCAATCCATGGTCACATGTATTCATCGGAAGAAGTGCGGGCGACGGGAAGGGAAGGCGACGGGAAGGGAGGCCGAGGGTGTGGGAGGGCGACAGGCAGGGAACGCGATGGGAAGGGAGAGCGACGGGAAGGGAGGGCGACGGGAACAAGGGAGGGCAACGGGCGGTTCCTCGCGTGTTCCCCCCCACCCCCCCATTCAACCCGGCGTCGTCCCCCGCCCGGCGCTATATTCCCCGCGGCTCATCCCCTTGGCGCACCACGTGCGCGACACGACTTCGCGTTGCGCAGATCCTCCTCCGACGACACGCCGTACCCGCTCATATCGTCGTCCTCGTTACATGCATCATCGTTACTAGACGCATCCGCATTGGCCGCGGGAAGGCGTATCTGGCGAGTCTGCTGCGCGCGACGAATCGGCGGATGCCGAACCGTTCGAAAATGTGATAGCTAATGCTGGCGTCCGAGATGTTCGCGAAGTGACGTGAGGCTGTGTAGGCGAGGAATGAGTGCTCGCGCCATCGCGCGACGAAGCACGAAGCCGATCAAAAGGCATGGCGTTTCCATAATAGCTCGTCGATTGCGCGCGGTGGAAAGAGGCATCGGGAACTGGCCGAGTCTTCAGAATCGAACTGTGTGTGATTAGGAAACCCGAATTACAGTCACGTAAGTAGTGCTTCAGGTACTATACAGTTCATTCGTCGTGGTTTGAAAAGATATCAGGCGGTGCACAGCGGTTTTCAAATTGCACCGTTTTGAACCGTGACGCAGTACAGATTACCGTACTGGATGAACTGTAATATACGGAAAACGTACGCGCTGGACCCGCCCTGAGCCCTGGAATGTATGCGTGCGTTTTTTAAGTCCCGTGGTGCACTGCAGGAGTCTCGGTGAGGGGGGGTCCAGCTCGTACATTTACTGTTCGTAAACCCCCTCAGTTACCACATTTTTTGTGGTAACCCTTTATTGAACGTGTCCAGCGGACACAATCAGCTTCTGTTCGCAAGACGGCACGCCCCATGCACGTACCTAGAGTCGTCTGACTCACGTTACTGGAATCAGCAGGGTCGCGAACAAGGGTACAGCACCGCGTCCTGGCCACTACAGTTCGTTTCCCTTGTATCGCTTGCATGATTTCGTCAGTGGTTCGCTCTACTCGCCAGCGCCCCCTGCGCCTGCACATAAATTTTCAAGCTATGATTGACGAGGGAAACTGTAACCTCGTTTTCAACGTGGTCAGAGCATTGTTGATTCGTGTGGCGGGGAATGTGTCCGCGCTTCTGAAATTACAGGATGGTTGGACTCCACTCACAATGCATTCGTTTCTAGGTACGGTAGTCATTTTTGAACCTCGATACGTGCGTTGGTACGAAAAATCCCGAAATGAACAAATTGGAAAATGCCCTGAGCTTGCCGAAACTCGACACAGCCTCAGTGTGGTAACCAAGCAGGTCGGAACCGGAAACAAGGTTTGGGAAAGTTGGTGGGGGAGGCACAGTGTCACCACTTCTTGTTTGACTTAGTAATTTGGGCTGCTGGTGGAGTTTGGGCGTTGTTCTGCAGGCGTTTAGGGTTCCGCACCAATTTGACCGCGGTAGCCTTCCGCGCATTTTCTAGGCGCATTCATGCTGGTTGCGTTGCGCGGATGTTGCTGCCTCGCATAACATGTGCGGAGGCTGATGCTAGCTCCCGAGGTATAATTAGCACCGCACTAGTTGTGCGACCAGGCCTCTCGATATCAGGGTGATTCACCCTTATGACCCTTACTATAAGGGTGGGTTTGACTATGCACCCTTTTTTACAAGACTGGTTTTGTTTTAGACCCTTACAAAAAAAATGATCGATCATACGACACTCATATTTCAGAGATATGTGGTGTAGTAGCACTGATGAAATCGAGTTCGATCTAAGAGAGGATACCAGGATTGGTCGCGTAAAACATGTTAGAATAGTAGGAGGTGGGGCCTAGGCTTAGTAGCCTAGGCCCACACTAGGAGGTAGGCAAGGTGCTTTAGAACTAGGACTTAGGGTTTGGGAAGGAGAATTGGAAGGAAGAGAATGTGGACTAGCAAGCAGAAGGACACACAAATAGTAAACCCTAAGGGGTTGTACTCACTATTGAGCACCCCACTGCAGGCTAGACAAATAATATTCTGACAAAACATTCTAACCGTGACGAACGCTCGCGCTAGGTTTCGAACTTGGGTCCTCCACACATCTGCGACGACTCATGTGCTGCAACAGCAACACTCATTTAGTGTGGAGATTTGTAAGGAAAATCCCTTTTCCTTACTTCGCATCCCTGCTCAACGCGTACATCACTTTAGCACCTCAGTCAGCACCGTTACCACTCGCGATCATCGCATCGACAATCATCCCGCCATTTTTCGCACATCACATCCCGACCTCACGGCTCGGCTCGTAACCCGCGCTCCGGGCCTACGCCTCGACACTTTCCCAACCTCACTCCCAGGCTCGTCGCGCGACTACCACAGACCATTACCGTTACCTCTGTAGTTTCGCTATATATTTTTCGCTCACGCCCTCGCTCATTGTATTCTTGCTTCGATAGTGCAATTCTCGTTCGTTCACTCAATTGCACTCGTAACACTTGGTTATCAGAGCCTACGATCTCAGCTCGGACCGCATCCACACCTTCGCTTCCCCTGTGAAACAGTGAGAAGAGGAATGGATTGACTAAGTCAAGAATGAGTACAAATAGGAAACCTAATTGTGTTGTACCCCTTATGGGATACCCCACTGTAGCCTACACAAACAGGTAAGCTATATGTTCTGACACACCCCCATAGGCAAAGTGGGGGAGAACAAGAGGTCACAAGACCAGTCAAGCAAAGCAAAGCAAGCTCGGGGTGGATCACAAAGTCACCACACAGTCCGAGCACAAGAGCAAGGCCAAAGGCCGGTTCACATGCAAGAGTACAGACATATATATAAAGCAAGACAAGCAAGAGCAGGTATATATAGGTCACAGTACAAGTAAAGCCAAGAAGAGAGCAAGTGAGGCAAGACAGGCACAAGACCCAGCTGGGTACAAAAGCGCTGATGGTCACAAGGCGCCAGTGCCTTGGTGAACAAATCAGCAGTGTTGGCCTCAGAGGCCACGTACGCAAGTCGCAACTGACCACGCTGCTGCAGCTCACGATCAAGGAAGTAGCGGAGAGCAATGTGCTTCGTTCTGTGCTCCAAGCGCTGCTCTCGACACAAGGCCAGCATGGCCTTGTTGTCTACGTACAGCACTGGAGGAGAACGAGGCGGCTCTCCAAGGTCAGTCAGCAGGTAGGTGAGCCAGCGAAGCTCCTGTGCAGCCATGGCCCCGGCGTAGATCTCAGCCTCACAACTGGAGCCGAGAACCGAAGACGAGCGAGTAGACCGCCACGAGACAGAGCCGGAACCAAGGCTGAAGGTGTAACCCTGTGACGACCGCTGCGTAGCCTGGTCGTCAGCCCAAGAAGCGTCCGCGTGGCCTGTAAGGACCACTGGACTGCGCCCTCCAAGCACTAGCCCCATGCCTGACGTACTGCACAGGTAGCGCAATACCCTCTTCGCTGCAGCCATGTGCTCTGGTCGGTGTCTCCCAGGAGCAACATAGCGTGCAAGGATGCTCAGAGGGTATGCGAGGTCGGGTCGTGTGCAGGTCATCAGGTACATGAGGCAGCCAACAAGCTCTGCATACGGACCACTCGACTCTACGGACTCATCCGAAGGCAGAGCTGAGAGTGAGTGGCGAGTAGGCAGAGGAGTGGCCTGAGGCGAGGAGTACGTGAAGCCGAAGCGCTGAAGGACCTGCTGCACCATGTGTGACTGAGTCAAGGTGATGGTGCAGCGTGCTCTGTCCCGAGTGATCTGCAAGCCAAGGTAGCTGCGCAGTTCACCCAGGTCTGTGCACGTGTGTCTCTTCAGCAGCTCGGACTTCACGTAGGCGAGTCCAGCAGTGTCCGCTGTGGCAAAGACCAAGTCGTCGACGTACACGAGGATGTAGAACGGCGGCAGGGAAGCGTCGGTGCGAAGAAACAGCGACGGGTCAGCAGTAGAAGGAGCAAACCCAAGAGCCGCAAGCGTAGTCCTCAGTGTGTCGTGCCACTCACGCGGTGCCTGGCGGAGACCGTAGACTGGCCGTCGGAGGCTCCACTGGGTGCCAGGAGGGAAAGTCCCAGTGAAGCCAGGCGGACGGCGCAGCCAGATCTCCTCGTGCAGGCTACCCTGCAGGAACGCAGTGCTGAAGTCGAGAGAGTGAAGCTCGTAGTCGCGCTGAGCGGCTATGTGCAGCAGCACCCGAAGAGTGGTCATCTTCGGGGTGGGAGAGAAGGTCTGAAAGTAGTCAACTCCCTGCCGCTGACTGAAGCCACGAGCAACGTACCGTGCCTTGAAGACAGGTGGAGAGCCCGGCGGTCGCTTCACCCTGAAGATCCACATGCCACTGACGATGTTCGCCCCAGGAGGGGGAACTGCGTCAACGTAGGTGCCTGTGGACTTCCAGGAAGCCATCTCTGCATCCATAGCTGCCTGCCACTGAGAGGAGTAGGGACCCTCTACGGCCTCCGCGTAAGAACGCGGAGTCGGGATGTCTAGTGCATCCGGGTCTCCCTCAGGGGCAAGCAGTACAGACGCGAGATGAGGTGAAGCAGTCGCTAGACACTGTAACTCCTCCTGCCTGTCCTCTAGGACGTCCGTGCCAAGAGCACACTCACCCCCGACGGACGGAGGACAGCCAGACACAGACTCAGCAACAAGACTAGCAGCGTAGTCGAGACGACAGCGAGCAGCAAAGTCAACGAGCTCAGCGACCAGAGCAGACGCAGCAGTGGACTCAAACGAGGGGTCAGTGACGACAGTAGCAAGCAGACGCGTGACAGTAGGACTGGCAGCGCGAAGAGAGTCCGACTCAGGGTCGGCAAGCGCAGGAAGAGAGGACTCAGGAGGAGAAGGCAAAGGGGCACGCAGAGGAGCAGTGGACGGACGCAGAGACATCCGGTGCGTGCCAGGGACAGGAGGAGGACGCTGACGCGAA